CTTGGTTCTAGGGGGGAAATCTTGACCTTAGAAACTTAGGGGAATATTGCATTTCTCTGTGGACATCCAGGGCTCATGTTTGGAATTAAATAAATATGACTAAACAATTTGATGAAAAACAATTTGCTATTAACTGCCAAGTGGCTTCATTTGTTACACTCGGGCCTATAGAGCCTTGAACCTCTGACCAGTCTTAAACGGTCCGCAACACTTAATTGTGCTCATGTACAACCTGTATGTTTGCACAGAACAAGGGCATATTGCATGCTTTAAAATTAGAAAAGGAGTATGTCAGAGTTGTATCCTTTCACCATGCTTACTCAGTGTCTCTTGAGCAAATAATCCAAGAAACTGGATTATATGCAAAAAACGTGACATCAGGATTGGAGGAAGACTCATTAACAACTTTCGATACGCAGATGATACATCCTTGCCTGCTGGAAGCAAAGAGAACTTAAAATACTTACTGATGAAGATCAAAGATTATAACCTTTAGTATGAATTGCACCTCAATGTAAAGAAAGCAAAAATCCTCACAACTAAACTAATAAATAGCCTTATGATACATGGAGAAAAGATTGTACTTGTCAAAGACTTCATTTTGCTTGGATCCATAATCAACATTCATAGAAGTAATCAAATCAAATGATGTATTGCATTAGAGAAATCTGCTGCAAAAGATCTTTTTAGGTGTTTTGAAATTCCCATTATTAACAATGTTATCATAATTTGTTATGTCCACATAGTCGTAATCACTAAAACACAAGTAAGCCTCTTTCTGGCATTCTCTGATTTAAGCCAAAATCGATCTGATATGAGGAATGATATTCCCCATTCCATGTTCTCTTCTCCCCAGTCCTGATGTCAATTTGAGGACCAAGGTACATCTTTGTCAAGCCATGATATTTTCAACCACCTCATATACATAAAAAACTGGACATTGAATAAAGGCAACTGATCAAGAATTGATGCTTTTGAATTATGGTGTTTAGAAAGAATATTGCATACACCATGAACTTCCAGAAGAGCCAACCAATCTGTGTTGGAAGAAGTACAGTCAAAGAATGTTTCTTAGAAATAAGGATGATAAAACATGTATTTTGGATATGTTATCAGGAGAGACCATTCTCTGGAGAAGGACATCATGCTTAGTAAAGTAGAGGGTCTGTGGAAACACAGGAAGACCTTCAATGAAATGAATTGATACAGTGGCTGCAACAATAGGCTCAAACATAGAAATGATTGTGAGGATGTCACAGGATTGGACGTGTTCTGTTCTGTTGTACATGGAGTCAGTATGACTCAGAGCCAACTTGATGGTGCCTAACAATGACTACAGCATATATTACATAAAGATTAATGAGCTTGGAAGTATACTAAGAGAAACCGTGTCTTCGGTGTCTTCTGGACTTTTCCCTGAGGGGGATTGTTCCTCTTCATCAATGCCTATATCTTGGATATCTATCTGGGGTTGTGTGGTGTATGTGTATAAAAGTGATTACGAGAGTTGTAAGCCAGAAGCAGTAAAAGCAAGCATTTTCCTTTTGGTTTATTGTCATCATTCTTGCCTAAAATTACTGCCTTATGTTTATTGTCCAGACTCGTTCCATATATAAAAATGTTTATATGAAATATTAGTGTCTGAATGCATAATAACCTTGACTGTTCAGGACATTGTTTGTGTGATGAGCGCTGGGTATGGTGTTGTAGATCACTTACAACACTTCATGCTGGTCAGTATTGGATATTTGGTGACCTTGTTAATCATATGAGGTTTTGAGTCTAGTCCTTTTACAGAGCTTGTAAAACTCTTACCAAGAAAGCTTGGCAAATTTTGCTAAGCTTTCAAAAGCGCTTCAGAAG